CCTTCAATTCAGTGTAGAAAAGGAACTCCAATTCCCATTCATTGTTCTGTATTTTTGTTGATTCCCAGAAGTTACGTAGAACCAAACTATTTTGACTTTTCTTTTGGGAGTAATGTACAAGTAGGGAAAATAATCATGAATCGTTGTTTCTATAGAGGACAACTGCAGCAAATAGTCATTTGCTCAAAAATGGAAAGGCCTAACACTACCCACAATGCAGGAATGGTTGGTAAAGATGATAAATTTTTCTGAGATGGTTAAATTAACTTCTGACTTGAGAAAAGAAACTATCTACATTTATGGTTTACTGGAAATCCTTCATAGATTTTTTTCCCCACAAAACAAATTTACGATTCGTGGTTTTGCGATGAGAAAAAAATCCTGGATAATAGAAAAGAGTGAGCTTTTTTTAATAATCATAGTATTGTAATAATTTCATCTTTTGACTCTGGATGGGTTGGCAGTCCTAGGGCTGGTGCCAAATTTGGGGATTTTTCTAGACTCGGGGCTCCCTCTTGAGCAGGTGGCAGCCATGGCTAGTGGGGGCCTTTCCACACATTCATCTGGTATGCTGATTGCGGCTTTTCCTAGGCTGGGAGTCCTCGCTTATTGTCATTCATGCCTTGGTCACTGTCTGGATTACTGCAGTGTGGATTATATGGGGCTGCTTTTGAAGACCACTATTCCAGAATGAGGTGTTCTACTCCGTGTAGGGTGCCCCTAGATTTCCCCATGAATTCTGGGTGCAATTCAAGGTGCTGATTTAACATCTTTAAAAGCCTCTCCGGCATAGGCCAAGTAATCTTTATTACTCTTATTGTTTTAAACCTTGTTTGGGGGCCACTTAGAATTTGGATTAAAGGTGGGCAGTTACATAAACGTTTTAGATAAATAAATGAAACTAACAGGTTATTCTTTCTATTTGCTCTTTTTACTTTTTTTCTTTTGTGCTTTTATTCTATTAATTTGTGTTAGTTTTTTATGCTCCGTTAAACTTTTAATAAAAAAGTTTATTAAGCCTAGTTTTCTTTGAATATTGAATTTGTGGACCGATGAGATTGGGACTCTCTTTTTATTATTTCTCTCTTAAGTTTAAAGCATTATTATATTCCTTTAAGTGGTGCATGGTGTTTGAAGGTTTAATACGATTAGATTAATGGCAGGGCTGCTCCTTCAAGCAAGTTATTTCAGGAGATGTCTCTTCTTTGGGACAGAGAATGTCCTTATGTTAGCTATTGATGAGTTTTTTGCTGTTTCTTTTTTTATCCCCGTATCTTCCCAGGAGTCCGTGAATTTACCTGTGAGACTTGTGGAAAATCCTTCAAGCGGAAAAACCATCTGGAGGTCCATCGTCGAACACATACGGGAGAGACACCTCTCCAGTGAGTCACCTGGGGCATGACAAGACAGTCTGGGCTGAGCCACCCTCCAGCCTGAGAGGTTTGAGGTTTGAGGTTTATTGGGATTTATATGCCGCCCTTTTCCCTGAGGGGACTCAGGGCGGCTTACAACCACAGGGGAGGGGAAGTGCAAGATCAAAACAAACAATTAGTGAGCCAGCACTGTCCGAAGAGGTCTCCATGGTCAGGGGCTGGCATGACTAAATGCCGAAGGTGCATGGAACACTATTACT